GTGTATGAGTGAGTGAGCAGAGGCAGCTGGCTGTATGTTGTTCTATGACTACAACACCATCTGTACTGAAATGTACAGAATCAGCTCTTCATCTCTGCTTCTTCACAAACACACAGACACACACAAACACACGTTCAGGGCGTTGGGTCGTGCATATGTCCCATATGTTTCACACATTTTGTCATAGCTGTCGTAACTTTGCATTTCCGAAATGGTAACTTTATAGAGAATGAATTAAAATATTCTTAACTTCCCATTTATATCAAGTAATATCAAGTAATTTTTTAATTGTGTCATCATGAATTGTTCACACAATGTAAAAGGCAGCTGGCATTTTCAAATGGTATTTAACAAAAAACTCATCTTAACCCCAATATCCAAAAAGAAATAGCTGGGCTCCCACCTGGCACAACTGTCTAAGCATAAGTTCGATCCCTGATGACAAATGATGCCACAGCCATCCAGAGTCCAAGATAGATAGCATTATTGGCCTCACTGTGGGTGCAGTCAGCGCACACAGCTAAGTGCTGACCAATGCAGTATAATCATAAGGTAACAGAACTGTCAGTTAGCATTCTCCTCCAAGCATGTTGAGCTGCCCAGTGACATTCGTTGGCAGCAGTATGACAAAAATGTAGTGGTGGTTCTCACGTCTTGGAGGAAGCGCATGCTAGCCTTCACCCTCCCAGCCGGGTAGCATTATGCAATGGAGGTGGGCCTAGCTAGTGGGTGGGAATTCACCACGACTAAAAGGGGGAAAAATAAATGGATTTAACTTCACAACTTTAAACAATAAAACTTTGTAATAAAACTTTACACAATGAAGGTCATTTCATAGGTCTCCACACTGTAGGTTTTTCTCTGGTTTTCCTAATAGGCAGGGCATTTTTGTCCTTAAACTATATGAAAACACACACACACACACACACACAGTGCATTACATCCCCATATAACAGTCTGCTGCTTTTAGCGCACTCTAAGTGAACCACATATTGAAGTGCATTAAATCCCACATCCTATGCTTGATGCTCACAGCAGAGTTCTCTATGGGTTTAAAACAGCAAGCTACTTTAGAGGTATGGAAAGAGCGAGCCAGAAACACTCTGAAACCTGATAGGCCGAGGGAGAGAAACTCCTGGGCTCCTGTAATGTGATAGGCCAATGCTGAGGAACTGTGGCGTTTCTGTAAAGTGATACGGCGGGACTGTCCGTTTCTGACTAGTGACAGCTGCTGTGGGAATTTTCATCTCAGAATTATCCAGACAATGTCCCACAAACTGCTTTAGACGTGCACACACACCTATTTGCTAAAAATGAGGTCAGCAACACAGAATCCCCCACAGTATCATCACCACAAAGAAAACCCAAAAGATACATCCTTTGTCGTGTTACCCCACAGTGCTGTGTGTGTGTGTGTTGTAATGCTCTTAAAGCTCTTTGGAAGCAGCAGGGTGCTCAGCTATTTCGGCCTGGCTATTTATGAAGCACTCACCATCACAGCTGCTTCTGCCTTTACTGCTGACATACCTCAAGAGACACATGCATGATTTTGGCCTAGGTGGGCCTATTACCAAACTTCTGAGACCATACAGGACTGCACAAAAGTCAGAGACCACCTTTCATTTATATGATTTCTAGTTAAAATGTCCATTATTACAAGTTATTCATTTTTCAGAATGCGAGAAAGAAGAAGAGATTTCTGTGAAGATTAGATATAAAATAATTCACAGGAATTTCTAAAATGGATTTCCAAACTCTTATCAACGGTGCATAACCTGGAAGACAACTGTCAGCATTAGATGAACAGTACATAAAGCATTCATCTTTGAGAGATAGGAGAAAATCAAGCTCCTTTCTTGCTTCAGATCACTGTGAGAAGACGACTCAACACTGTAAGTCTGAAAGGATGTGTTGCAGTCTGCTACTGAGAAGCCACAAAAGACACAAAAAAAGAATTTGGAATTTGGAAATGAAACAAAGAAACTGCTGGTATTTTCAGAACAATGGACTGACCACTCCAGAGTCCAGACCTGTTGGAGATTACTTGGATTGCTAGATGCAGAAAAGGCAACCAACTTCAAAGACTGAACTTTAGCAGTGTGAAGAAATATCCAGACCCTTCTTTGAAAAACTGAGAGCAAGGCTCATGAAAATAATGGACGGCTGTAATAACAGTAAGTAGTTCACACACATTAAAAAAGCTAGGGTGTCAACCCTGAAAATTTTGATTTTTCGTTTAGTAGTTGAAACATCTGTGTAATTTTCGGACTTTTTTCTTAACACTGAAAAATGAACGGCTTGTACTTAAAGGCCGTACTGACTTAAATAAGTGAATGGTGGTCTCTCACTTTTGCACAGTACTGTAGGGCACCTGCAATTACACTAATGATAAAAATAACAGAATAAACCCAGTCCTAATTCTAAACCTTAGGGAGGGCAGTGACACTCACAGAAGCAGAGAGAGAATTAGGGTAGGGATAAAGGGAAAGGAATTGATTTGCTCTACTTTTCGCAGCCCATGGAACGACAGAGGCAGACTGACATATTGCTTTTGGTGTCATCACACATACGCACACGCATTCATAAGCAGAATCTCCTGAATGTACAAACATAAGTAAATGTGCGTATTTTAAAGGGACACTTTGGCAGTAGTCATTAGACAAAGATTTTTTGTGAACTACGAAACCCTTATTCTGATGTATCTTGAAGGTGGAAGTTGGGGGCTTTTTTGATTTATTTTGTTAGCTGTTGAATACATAAGTGGGCAGATAGCTAACATCACTGCTAGAAAGCTGAATATCTTGTTACAGGCATACAGCTGTGCTCACTGGCTTCACATCATCATTTCAACGAAGAGAATAGATTTCTAAAACAAGAAAAATTACTTATCAGGAGGACAAGCTAACAGCTACAGTGAGCAAGGTAGCTGCCTGGCTATCTTACCACAGTTTAGAGTATAGCTTCTTTTCTCTGGTAAAAAAAGGTGCAGTTGTGTACTGAATAAAGGTTGGATCACTTTTCTTTCGATTTTTTTTCAGTGACAGAGGAAATTGTTACACAATGTTACATGTTGGGTTGCATTTATTAGCCTGTAGCTCAGTGGCTAGACTAAAAGTCATGACTGGTTGACTACATAGGGATTCCCAGTGGCTGTTTGTGCAATGCATGCTAGGTATTGTAGTGATGAGTGAAAACATGAAAATGATCTAAAACTGTGAATTCTGCCAAACCACACAACACAACAAACAAGTCTATCTGCATAGACAATGTAAAATAATAAAAATAAGCAAAATGAGCGTGAGCTTTTTACTCTTTAATGTGTCATAGCGCAGTGGGGGTCCACCATCCACACACATCTGTGTTTCTGTGTTTGTGGGCCATTAACCTCTCCACTGATTTCTGTATGACTACAGCACAGTGCTGCTGCATTTGCTGTTCTATTCACCCAACCCTAAACCCAAGGAGCCGAAATAAAACGTATTTGTTCTGTTACTTTTTCAAATAAAAGCAGCATTTTAGCGAGAAACGCATTTTCCCCTCATGAAGACCAGCCAACTGTTCACACAGTGTTATACGCCTCATCCTGGGGACGTTTGGTCTCTACCAAAGAGCCACATACACACAAACAAAAGGCTGATACAGAGAGTCCTCTCATCTCAGTTTATTGTCACCAGAAAACGCCATCTCTAATCTACTGCACACTCAAATCTGGAGCAGTGACGTCACGACACCCGCCAGTCCAATCCAACAGCACGAAGGCCACGAAAATAGGTCACGAAATCGTTACGGAGGTCAAAAGAAAGCACGATGATCAAACTGAGTAGCAAGCTGATACCAAAACACCTTTTATGTGGACGTAACTATTAATCCTGGTCCGTTTTGTGAGGCTGGGAGATGAAAACAGCGACATGGGAATCAGAGATGCGTTTTCGTTCACTTGCGCCTGCGCGCTGCCATGGCGACGGGAATCACGCGGGAAAAGGGGGGGCGGTTCCGTGAAAGAGTAAGCGTGTTGTTTTCTTTTGCACCCGTACTCGACAAACCCCGCCTTCCTGCGCTAGGATTGGCTATCGCCATCGTGCCTCCTACGTTAGGATTGGCTGGCACCTCTCACTCACGAGCTGTGCGCCGTATCCCAGACTGGGAGGGCGGGGCTTGTCTGAATACGGGCGGGAAAAGAAAAAACCGCCTGCGCATCGTTCTTCTTTATTTCTACCAATAACACAGCCAAACTCTTTGTTAGACACATTCAAAACGCACACGGTGCTCAGCCTAATCTGGCCTGAATCTGCTGCTCGCGTTATAAAGGTCACGTGAACAAAAAAGGCAAAACATTTCGCACAGAAACTGTCGCCAGCGAATCCCGCGCACGTGACACCCGCATTGTTGCTGTAAACTGACACGCGCCGTCTCCCGCAGTGGAATGGACGTTTAAAACACGCACGCACACACGTACAACAGGTGACGGTGCAATATTTATAGCCAGAAAGCATTAAGTGCCATGCCATTACAATGAAAGCGCTGTTTGTAGCGTTTGTGTAGTTTAAACGCTGAATAAAGCTGGAAAAGAACCAACACACTATAGCCTATTATATATTACAATATAGTGTATAGAATACACATATGTGGTCCTCGCGTGTGCAATACTACATAGTAAACCATATACACACCTCTTTTTCATAAGTTGTTTTGTAAATACAACGGTTACATACTGAAATACAACAACGCCATTTGAGTTTTAAATGGTAGAATTTTCTCTATAACGGAGAGCCTTTGGTTTATAGAACCTTTTAAATTATGGTTTACACAGCACCACAAACGGCGAACATATACATATATACCGTATGTAGAAGTATATAAGGAACTACAAAGCCAATATAATTTAATAATTACAAATATATAAACATTTGTTTCTAACATGTATGTAGTATATAGTATGAGCGCCTGAGTGTGTGAGGCTACTTGCTCCGCTGTGTTCAGGGCGCTGTGTCTGGACTCACCTCTATCCATTTCTGGGCCTCCTGTACTGCGGGCTCCTGGCTCGTTTCTCCGCTTTCGTGCTGCTGCTCCGCGCATGTGTCTGAGCGCGTCTCCTCGCTGGGACTCGCCATCTCCACACAGGCGTGATCGACACCAAAGCCGCTCTCGTGCTGCACACCTCCAGCTCGAGGCTAGTGCTGCTGCTGCGGGACAGGAGCGGCGCGAGCGCGCGAGCTCTGCACTGGCAGCCGAGCGGCGCTAAAAATACGAGCCCCACACACACACACACACACACACTCACGCCGCCGGAGCGCTGCGTTCAGCCAATGCGGGACAAGCGCGAGCTGCTGCTGCTGCTGCCTGGCGAGAACGCGCGCGCAGAGAGAGAGAGAGAGGAATGCGCGAGGACAATGGAGGAGTTCAGGCAGCACCTACTCTCTCTCTCTCTCTCTCTCTCTCTCTCTCTCTCTCTCTCTCTCTCTCTCTCTCCGTTTCTGACTCTCTGTTTCTGTCCGATTCTCTCTTTCTCTCTTCCTCCCCCTCTGTTTCCGAATCTCTCTTTCTCTCTCTCATGTATCTCATTTTCTGTCTCTCTTTATCATTTTCTCTCTTTCTCATCTGTTTCTTCATCTGTCCTATCCTATCTCTCTGTCCCCCCTTCTGTGTTTCTCCATCGCTCTCTCTGTCTCTCTCTGCAGCTCTCTTTTCATTTATCTCACTTTCTCTCCCTCTTTCTGTCTCTCTTCGCATTCCTCTCTCTCTCCATCTCTATTTAGATATCATTTTCTCGCCCTGTGTTTCTGTGTGACTGTATTTCTCTCTTGCTCTCTCTTTGTTGACAGTTTTTTCCTTTTTCTTCTTCCGACTCTCTCTGTTTTTCTTTGTGATATTTGGACACGTCGATATATAAAACTCCCTCGATATATAAAACTCTCACTGTATTATCTATTTCAACTTAACATTCATGTCATTTTATTACTGCACGCCACTCTGTTGTAGCGGGTAAACACACAGCCCGTCTCTGGGGTAAATGAGCAGCCGCCCCCTGGTGGTGAACAGCCGTTATTGCACCCACTCTGCTCAGATACTTCATAATCTGCATTTACACTCAAACTTACTGCCAATGTGAAGCAAGTAAGTAACTATTCCTTTTAACTAAAGAGACTATTACACATCACTAGCTGCCATATAAAGGACTATTACTGTATTTCCCACCAGTTTCATTTTTGTATATATCATTACTTGTTCTGTGTGTAGAAGCATATAAGGAAATACACAGCCAACATATTTAATAAATACAAATACAAATATATAAACAAATATAACATGTATAGTATGTAGGATATAGCATGAGTGCATTAGGCCACTGTTCCACTATTTTCAGGATGTCTGACACTATGACATCTACGTAAACATCCAAAGGTACATGGCATAGCGCAAAACAGTAGCAGCCATCTTGAAAACATAAATCTGCCTACAGCTTCATAATCTATAGTATGATAAACTCTAATCTGAAATCTGCCAGGTTTGTGGACCACTTATTGGAAATGACAATGTTAGAGTGGGTCGAGATTTACTAGTTCTTGAAATACACTGACAATAGTGGGGACTATTTTTTTTTATTTTGTTACTTTTAACAACCTCTTATGTACCTCTCCGCCATGAACAAATTAAAAAGAATTAGTTTTAAACCTTCTCAAAGCTATTATAAAACAGTATGACGGGCACCAGGCAGCATGTTCTTAAGCATTTAATGTCATAGCTTTTGGTAAAACTCACGTCTAGTTCCTGTCACCTCCACTGTGAGCAATTCCATCTCAGTACATTTCAGTGTGATCACACTGATTTATCAGTCTACTCAGGCTTTAGCATCCATTACTTGTTAGCTACATCAGACTTATAGCTCCAGTGCAAAACTTAAAAAAAAAGAGTACAATAATGACGCTAAACATGCCTTGGCTCATAGACTATCTTTGTTAATGTCTTTTAGTTTCTGGCAGGTACTGCTTGAACAGCTTGAGGATGCAGATCTGTGAACTTATTTAATCAGAGGGGAAAGAGACATTTGTAGTAAAGAGTCATTATCCAGTGAATTATGTTTATTTTCAATGCAGTCTACATTAGCAGTAAACACAGCAACGGAGACAGATTCTCTGTGTGCAACAAAATGTCTGCGCAGGTGCAACACACACACACACACACACACACACACACACACACACACACACACACACACACACACACACACACACAAAGTGCTTGGGCTTAAAGAGGCAACAGAGTTCTGGAATAAAAGAGAACGGCAACTCCCACGTCATCTATTATTCACGTCACAGCTATATCAACTAAACCCAGCACCATACTCCCAGACCACTCAGCCCAGATTTTAACCAGTGGAACTATAGACATGAAGTCCAAACCAACCACCTTTAACATCACATGTTTGACATGACATCTTTAGAACAAAATTTTAATCACAAAAAAAACTAGTGCCAGTTAAGGCACTTGTGCAAAAACTACAAATACAACATACCAAGAGAAACAAAGAAAGCTTGGCAGTTGTTGCGGATTGAAAGCCAGAGATAGTAAAAGAAACAGCAGAGTAAGATTAACCGGCAGGCAGACAGGCAGTTTTGGGTAGACTGTGCAGGGCTTGTGTGCTCTGGCCTGAAAGGGAGGGAGAGTGAAGTGTTTTCATTTTGGTCAGTTGCTCCTCGCTCAGCCACATGGTCTTGGTCACCTTTAGGCCTTGCATAGAGCCACAGCAGAGAATCGGACTTCTCCTTTCTCTCGCTCGATAAAGCCGCGGCACACCTTTGCAGCATCCTGACAAGAACACGAGAGTTAAAATCACATCACTGTTAAAGTCATGTTATAAAACAGATAGCTCCCTAAAATCTGATTGGTTGAGCCACATTCAAAACCACTGTAACATACGCATGAGGCCACCAATCAGGTAAATTCGCTATTAATGCACCAAATTGAAAACAAAAAAAAAAACAAAAAAAAACAATGTTGTGGATGGGACAATCTTTGATAAGGTTGCAGCAATGGCCTATTGACAAAGTATGCAGCATGTCAGAACTGTTTGTTACATTATTAAGTAGAGACGGCACCGATCTGTGTGACACAAGGTATGGGGCCAATATCAGCAGTTGCACTATGTACACTATGTATGTTTATTTTCTGGTTAAAATTGTAAGATGTAACATTGCTGAGTTTGGGGGAGAAGGCAGTTGGCATAAGATTACAAAATGTTCTTCCACACATTTATGCCAGAGAGGTCTCCAAATCCCCAAAACTTAGTGTGACTAACTGAAGCTTAAAGTGAAGTTCTGATTTAATATCAGAAATGAACTGGAAGGGACAAACACTGAAGTCATTTTGCCATCTTTACTATTAACAAATTAGATCAGATGCTGAACACCGGTGTTTATCATTGTATTTTGCCACCGTTTTATAGAAGCAAGAAGCCTCTCAAGGCAGCAGGTTTGCCTGATCACTGCAAGCATCACAAGCATGAATTCATCACTCAGAGACATGACTCATTCAGATCAAGTCAAATACAAAATAAAATACCATGACAAAGCTGTCTGGTGTTGTTGCATCATGTTTCACAGGCCCCTCCATTCTGCCATCTGCAAGCACACATACACATTAACATACGAAAGAAGCCAGAGCCATACACACACACATACATATATATTTACTGGATATATATATATATATATATATATATATATATATATATATATATATATATATATATATATATATATACACACACACACACACACACACACACACACACACACATATATACACACACACACACACACACACACCAACTACTACTACTACTAAATTATACTGCAGCATAGCATATTATTCTATCAATATTCAGTATTGCTCTGTTACTTAATACTGATGCCAAGTGGATATCTAGGAGTTCAGGGATTCGGACAGAACATTATGCATTATACCAAGTGAGATTTCAGTAAATAGGGAAAAAGGGAAAAATACTGATTAAATAAATAATAAAATAATGATTCATCCCAATCAGAAATGTTTTTAAAAATCTGTCTGTTTTGTGAACATTTCTAATAGCGGGACCAATGAACCTAAGTAATGAAATTACTAATTACTAATAATACTAATAAAACATTAAGCAGAATAATCATTATTGTAAGTATTACTAGGGATACACATTAAAATTGTCAGATCCTGTCAAAACACAGAATCAGCGATTGTTTTTCCTTTTGGCAGACCTGTGATGCAATTCTATGATACAAATAACATGAGTCAGGTCAGTGAGATGTATCTGAATGCTGCTGCTACACCTGCACCAAAATGTCGCAGCAAAATTATGCATGACTCACTGTGCTAAACAGCCAGTTGCCTCTTACTCTCAATGTGGCACTTTACTGAATTCATGTTATTAAATAGGCAGCTGAATAGAAATGTACAAATTTTATATGCCAGTTTGACCAGTAAAAGAGCAAATAAATGTTGTTTATATTGCAATTCTGCTATTAGAAATTAATGGGAATGTAACTAATTGACCCTACACAGTGTGAGCTTCACATTAAATAAAAAAAAAAAAACAACTAATAAATGGCCCTAAGTTCATTCATGAATTAAAATGCCTTCAGCCAATTTGTCTGCAAAGAAATCAAAAAAGCCATAAAAATTTACACAGTAAGAAAAGAATGACCTACCGAATTCATAAAGTTGACCATTCACATTGACAAATGTGATGAAGTGAAAGTTCACTTTGTCTGCCTCTGGCTGTAAAATATACAATTTAAAAGGCAAGATTCAGTATCAAGAAGTTACACAAGATTTCCTCATATGCGTGACGTATGCAAGCGGGTATTCATCTCAGTCTTACACGACACTGTCCCTCAGCAGCAACTTCATCATGAGCTTCCTGGATTGCCTGCAAGTGAAAACAAGAATAATGTATGTAAGAAATATTTAATCAAATGATGCAAGCACAAAAACAAACGTGTAGACAAGACTATGATTTAGGTGCCACCTGCTGTTAGACCTCTGTACTGCAAAAGACAAAACAGGGACGTGCATTTATCTGTTCAATATAAGCCCTGGCTAAATCCTGGTTACCCACTTACAGATGCTCATTTCTATTTCAGATATACTGTAGCCTACATTGAATGAAGGTGGGGAGTTGTAGAGTACCTGATTTTTTTCCAGCTGTTTGGCACGATCTGCAGGGGACATCCCAGCTGTTTCTTCTAGAAACTTCTTTAGGGTAGAACCATTTTCTGGGGAGCAGAAGAATATTTTTTTATTTTACTGAGCTGTTTTAGGCCATGCTTGGAGAAAAATATTAAATTAATTTTTTATTTTAAGACTAATTTCAACCAGGTATTGGTTATCAAAACACTGTAGCCAAGACAGAACTTAAAAAAAAAGACCAAAATGATAACTACATGAGTAATGCTAATTAAGAACTTGCAATTACTGATCATGATTAACAGATTTCTTTATAGATGCTCTGCAAAAACTCATTTGAACACTAATTTAATTCAAGACAAATAGCTTTGAGTAAAAATGTTTGAATATGGTTCATCTAGTTTACTGACTAATTCATTTAGTAAAACGACTGAAATCAGTTTCAATTGTGTGTGTGCAGGCCCATGAGCTTACTAACCAAAAGTCATTTTGTCCTGATTGTTGGCAACAGCATGCAGCAATCCCACAGTTCCACAGGAGTTCACCACAGTTTGAGTCAGAAAGTAGACGCCTTCGCAACTGTCCACTGATTGCTTGGAGCGAAACTCCTCGTGCTACAAGATAAAGGACAGAGGAAAAAGAAAAATAAATTTGTTGTATTCCCAAATTGTGCATTAACTTATAACATATGCATGTAACTGAATCAAAACCATCAAACACATCTACAGAGACTTAGACAAGATAAGGGCACTACGGGATTACACAACTTTAAAATTGGTAAAAATGTCAGAATACAGTGGTAATGAGCCACTACACTACTTTTCATTGAATCCCCTTAATAATGAAACTAAGATTTTAATTTACTGTGCTTTAATATGTGCTGATTTATTTGTAAAATGCACAAAACTGCAAAGAATCAACCCACTAATACATAAATCAACAAATATATTTTTTTAAGTATAATGTACCCACACTAGAAAAATCTGCTGCTCATCTGTAAAAAAATATAATCACAATTTCTGACCAACTAGGCTTGAAGACGAGGGGACTGACTGCTGGATATACATATATCATCGAACCAATTTCCCCTGGAGGGATATTAAATCAGGCCAAAGGACCTAAATTTGTTCACAGGGTCTTACGACAAGGTACCAGGAGGCAAAATCTCAGCAGTTTCGGTTCTGCTGTTGCGCATCAGCTTGTGTGTGGATACCTGTTGAGTTAAAGGAAACAGCAGCATCAAGGCGCAGCAGGGCGTGGGCACTCCAGACAAAGCCTCGTCCTCCAAACCCAACAAGTCCACAAACTGCCAGTCTGCTCCGACACCCAACTTGCCCAGCACCTGCTCAAGCGGACAGCGACACATACAAAAACATTTGCACCGTCATCACCATACCACTGATACTGCTTTGACATCGTACGTGTATCTTTTAGGCTGGGGGATCATCTCTTCACCTCATCACAGAATACTCTAATGTAACTGCTGGTGAATCCTCTTCAATATTAAAATCGAATCAAAGTCTATTTAACTACTATTACCAGATTGCAAAGTATGATCAAGACCAACTAGACAGTTATGAGGGAAAAAAACAGTGAAAATGTCTTAAAGCCTAGTAAACAGAAAAAGATAAAATAACACTGCTGATGCTTTAACTCGACTAAACAGACTGTTACTGTTCTCCCCCCCAGTAGGTGGAAAGTGGCGAGCCTACGCCCATCTATTGTGCAAGACTGTTCACAGTAAGGCCTCTACCACCTCGCCGCATCACTTAACAAAGCCAAGCACCATTAAAAAGAACAAGTAGAGTCTGCCTCGCCATTCCTCGGACCATGACTCAGCGAACCCACCTTATTCAGCATCTGCAACGACAAAAAAAAAGCCACACAAACGTCTCAATGAATAACATTTAACATTACTTGTGCAGAGAGAGTGAAAACTGCAACGCTGCTTTCATTGTGAACAAGTGGCGATAGTAAAACGGAGCACAAACCTCAGGGTTGATTTCCATAGCTTTCCATTCCATGGTGGCAGATTTCAGTAGCAGTCTTTTTCTCTCCGGTAATGCTAAGCTAGCTAAATGACACAGACAAAATATTATCGTACGTTAGCGCACGCGGTTCATATGCGACCGGTCATGTTCCATTCCTGCACTTCTGACGGGGGTGTGGGTGTGTTTGAACTCACAAATCTCTGTCTGGACCCTCTTCCAGCAGACCCTCAGCAGCCAGCAGTCTCCTGTTAGCGAAGAGATGAGCAAAAATGCAACGGAAGAGTCACTTAACGGTTTTCACGAGTTTAAAAAACAACAATCCTGCCTTGTCACGCGCAGGTGGAGATAGAACAGTCCGCAGTCAGATGATTCTAGAAGCTACCAGTAGAGCCCAGAAGAGAATCAGAAAAAAAGCTCACTGATCAATTCAGTCGACTCAGTTGATCTGGGAAGTTTATTTCAGGCGTACGTTGTAAACTGAATGTGTGTTTTTGTGTATTTTAAATGTGCACATTTGCTTTAATGGGGAGTTCCAGTTTTGTCCTTAATTGCAGCATGAATAAATCATTAATAATGTAAGCATCCATGCAGAGTGGTTTGGTGTTTTTGAGAAACTCATCGACTCAGAATTGTCCACAGTGGTGCTAAAAGCAACCAGACATCTGAAATGTTTAAAAGGGGATTCCGATTTTTGAAGTCGAGAATTTTTGCATAATTAAATTATTAAAATGTGAACGAAGTCATTCAGAGTGGTTTGATGTGAAATGTTTTGTTTTAGGGAAACCTGCAAATGAATCAAAAGCATTCACAATGATGGAACCAGACGTATTAAAAAGTTTATTTTTGATGCCTCTAAAAGCTCCCACGCAGAAAATGAGTACGTGAAATGGTTAGGATGCATACATGCGTATGTCAGCAACCCAAAATTAAGAAGAGCCTAACCCTAACCCACGACATTTTATGTCCCTTTTACTGGTTAAAAATTTTAACATCTTGGCTGTCAATATGTCTCAGTATATGTTAATATGCTAGCACAGAATAAAAATGCTCTGCTTTAAGCTTTAGCTCAGCTATAGCTGCTTTTCTCGCATCTCTGGCAGGAAACTTTTCCGTTTTCTTGTAAAATGTCTCTCAGTGTTTGAGTTTTTAGTGTTTGACAGTTTCTCGTTGCAGATTAAACGTACAAGGAAACCAGCTGGAGTGATTATAAATGCAAATGAGTCTGTCCACTCGTCTCTAAATTCTTCGTTAGCTGCCTTTTTGTTAGCTGCTAGCTAGGTGAGACCGTTGTCTGCGTTGCTATGTGACCAGCAGTCTGCACGCTGATCTCCAGGGTTAATTAGTAGTTATACATTAACTCTGGCTTTTAAGACCATTTATTGTTAAAACATTCTTGGCATTACTAAAATAAAAAAATATTATTTTACTGCAAAGGAGGGTCATTTTCTATTTTTATTCTGCTGTAGAGCCACAAGAGGGCAGTAAAAGAACAGCATGTGGCTGAGCCCTGCATGTAGGGCACTGTAAGGCAAAATAGCCCTTAGAAGACATGAAATAATTACATTTTGCACCTTGATCCCTGGTTTCAGAGTCTGAGGACCATTTTACAATAAACTACTTTACATTTTCACATCCCACATTTAAGTTATAAGGAATGTTTCTGCCTGTTTTTTAAATGCATGGTGAAATGGTTAGTCTAAGGCTCATTTTCTGTTATAAAAAAGTATTTGGGTGACACTTTGTGTATTTGTGTCTCAATAAACATCTACAAAAAAGTCAATAAATCTTTGTCCTTATCATCGCTATGATAATTGTCATTACCACCACCACTGCCAACATCATCACCCATTTCTTCATTAATATCAATGGGTCTCATTCACCAAAGCATTCTTAAAAAGAAATCTCTTTTTAAAACCCATTTATGCAGTTATCACTAGGATTCTGACATTCACCACTGTTTTCTTATTTGTGATTTGTTCTTAGGTAAGAATAGAATGTACTCACTCTCAAGAGCACAAAAGTGCAAACAATTCTTCTAAGAACACGTCATGAATCTGACATAGACTTTTTCTTAGAATCTTTCTCAAGAACACATTTAAGAAAAAAAAACTAGGAAGATACTGGTGAAGGAGCCCTGCGATGGACTGGCGACCTGTCCAGGGTGTATCCTGCCTTCCGCCCAATGACAGCTGGGATAGGCTCCAGCACCCCACCGCGACCCAGAAGGATAAGCGGTTTAGATGATGGATGGATGGATATTGGTGAAGGAGGCCAAGTCTACCCAGTCTACTACTTCTAATAGTTCTTCTCTGTTTACGTGCAGCAGAACGTCTAACTCCATCTAAGATAACTCTGCAGTTATAATCTAAGGTACTCATTAAATCCATCTTTTTTAGAATTTTTTTTAACAGGCCAGTCTGTGAATGACATCAGAAAGATTGTCATTTTGTAGTTATCTGATTTGATTTGAGTAAGAGTTTGAAGTACCCCTAAAGTCATTAAAACACAACAAATTTATATTTATGGCATTTAGCAGACACTCTAATTCAGAGTTTCTTAGTTTGATCATTTTACACAGGTAGGCAAAAGTAGTGTTAGGAGTCTTGCCCAAGGACTCTTATTGGTATAGTGTAGGGTGCTTAAGGGTCATTCTACAGAAACATCCATTTTTGTGTCCATAGCGTTTACAGATATATTACACTTGAAAAACTTGTTAGGGTTACATTTTTTTTACATTTTCAAATAAAACAATAAGTTATTTTAACAATTACATCTTATTGATCTATCAATTTAGCAATATTGTTTTTTTAAATCAATTATCTAAAATTCCAAGCACCACAGAAGTGCTTGTTCCCACAGTCATGTGTGAAGGGTGAGTGCCATATTTTAAAGAAAAAAACACACTTTTTGCAGTTTAAACTACAATAATCTATACATGACTATGGGATATATAAATCAAATGACATAAAGAAAACAAATGCCAAATAAATATTACAAAATATATAATGAAAGTTAGTTGTGTCACTGGTGTTACTGCATAACAAAAAATCTCTTATTTTGAAATAAAAATCACACTGATGACATCACTTCACTTCCTTTTACCTATTTTCTGAGGATCTGTAAAAAAAAAAGCACATGGTAAGTCCACTGTGTCTTATCAGTTATCAGAAATTTTCTCATTTAGCTCATAATTTCATATGAAGCTGACATCACTGGTATGACCTACTTTGTAATTGTGACAAAATAGAATACAAATGGATTAAATTACATATTTTAATGGATATTCCATGATTGACAACATGTGGTTTGATGCTCTGTAGCAGCCATTTTGTAAAATGCATTTTTCATCACAAATGTCACTGGTGTTACTGTCCTTATGTGTAACAGCAATGAGGATGGTAACACCAGTGACACCTATGGATAGATAGAAAAGTGAACGTTTCTGTAGAATGACCCTTAACCAGGCAGGGGATTGAACCCTAGTCTACAAGGCAGAGGTGTTACCCACTACACTATACCAATCTTCTGTGTCAAGTACAATGAATAAATTGTTATATTTTATGCATTACTGTGATGCCCACATTAAAAAAAAGACTAAAAATGGCATAGCAGAGTCCCGAAAGCTCAACACTCATTAATGCAAAGATCTATGAACATGCAGAACTATGCAAATTGTAAACACCCCCTTGCTGCAATATGGTTGAACTGCAGCCAGGGCCATTCCTGTAAATATTTGCTTACATAAGAACACCCCCTCTTTATCACTAGCTAAAACATAAACACCTCCTTTTTCTAATTGGGTAAAACAAGAATGCACCTATTTCTCATTGGCAAAAACAAAAACACCTCAGTTATTCTATTGGCTAAAACAAGAGCACCTCTCTTTATTATTGACTAAAACAAGAACATCTCCTTGTTATCATTGGCTGGAACAAGAACACCCCCTCTTTCTCATTGGCTTAAACAAGAATGCTCCTTGTACTTATTGGGTAAAACAAGAATGCCTCCTCTTTCTCATTGGCTAAAACAAGAATGTCAACTTGTTCTTATTGGCTAAAACAAAAACGCCTCCTTGTTGTCATTGGTTCTGGTTTCTAGTGGTTTATTTTCTGTCCCAGTATGCAATTTTGTGTTGTAAAGGTCACAATAAAGGCTTTTCCTCTATAATTGAGTTTAAAGTTAGTTAACCAGTATCATGCAATACATTTGTCCCTAATATTCATTTATCCCATGTCCATATTTACACAGTATTGTGTGTAGTGGGCTGTTTTTACCAAAGCACAATTGTACCAGACTTTAGAGTAATTCTGTAAACTCGGACATCATTTTATTCTGCTCAAAGCTGTACATCTGCTAATATTCTGCACTGTCTGTATCTTGTACATAGAAATTGTCTCACAGTTATTCTCAAGTTTATCTATGTTTTGTGTAGTTATTTATATTTTCTATATTTATGGGATGACTATTGCACACTTTTATTCCCCTACTCTGTTTACCCCTGAGTCTATTCATGAGTGAGTGAACAAACCCTAAATACAATGAAATAGTGTGTGTGTGTTACACCATGTAGGGGAAGTAAGGGAAAGTAGGGAAAAGCTTGAGCCCCCCTTAAAATATTATTGAGCCCCCCTAATTAATGTACATTATTAGTTCAAATTGTCAGCAGTACTTCTTTGCCATTCAACTGTGCTTCAAATTACTGTGCTCCACAATATACTGTAATAGCAGGGTGCAAACTGAGGGAAGCACTGCTGCTGCTCTAATCCATATATTTAGGAACCACTGCTTATCTAAGAGAAAGGAGTGTTGCTTGACTTTAGTACTTTTATTTGTGTATTATCTGTGATGTGTGTAGTGGACAGATATAGTATTGAAGTTGTTAAAAACTGTTAATAATAAACAGATATTTTGGGCAATTAAAAACATTAATTAAAAACATAAATTGACCTGAGCATCCCTTCAAGTCATAATTACAAGTGTTAGCTTGAGTTTCCAATCTACTGCTGATCTTTAACACATTAGTATGGTAGAGGAAGCTATGTTCTCAGAGGTAGATAGTAGATGGGACAATGTTAGAAAGATATAAAATAAGCATGTGAAGGCAGCATAAGGCCCAAAACAGGGAAATACAGATGCCAGGTTTCAATACAGTGCATTATGAATACACACACTGTATGGACAAAAGTATTGGTACACCTACACATTACACCTACCAGAGCTTTTATGACATCCCATTTTAAATCCATGGGCATTAATATGGAGTTGGTCCCCTTTTGAAGCTGTAACAGCTTCCACTCCTCTGGGAAGCTTTCTT